TCTCTCTCTCTCTCTCTCTCTCTCTCTCTCTCTCTCTCTCTCTCTCTCTCTCTCTCTCTCTCTCTCTCTCTCTCTTTCTTTTTTGGTTGTTTGTCCATACAGTGTTTCTCTGTGTAGCCCTGGCTCTCCTGGACCTTGTTTTGTAGATCAGTCTGGCCTCGAACTCACAGAGATCCACCTGCTTTTGAATCCCCAGTACTAAGATTAGAGGCATATACCACCACTGCCCATATCTATTTCTTATTTAGATCACTAGTTCCATCTTGAAAATCTGCTCATCTCAAAACCAAACATTTATTGAGAGATGACTGGCTTTCACATATATCAATCTCTATGTATAAAGGACAAAGATTCATGGGAATATGTGGCAGAAATATTAAATATTTTGGTAAAATTCTCCCTGAATGGTTAGTTTAAAAGTATTAGGTTACCATCAGACAGCATGCCTTTTTAGGAGGCTTGATGCTCTGCTGTCCTTGCACAATTCTTTCACCAAGTTGGGCTTCATGTCTGTACTGAGCTTAGCTATACCATGCATCACCTGTACCATACAATCTGACTGTTTGTCTCCTCAACTAGTCTGCAAGCTGTAGAGCAGTGGTTCTCAAGTTGTGGGTCATGACCCCTTTGGGGGTTGAATGACCCTTTCACAAGGGTCACACATCAGATATCTAGCATATCAGACACTTACATTATGATTCATAACAGTAGTAAAATTGCAGTTATGGAGTAGCAAGGAAAATAATTTTGTGGTTGGGGGTCACCACAACGGGGAGAACTGCATTAAAGGGCCAAAACATTAGAAATGTTGAGAAACACTGTTGTAGAGAATTTTTTACTTATCACAGACCACACACTAACTTTGTGCTTGGGTAGAGCAAGCTCACTTACTACAGGCCCAGTCCTCCATCCTGTGTTTTTATATACATATCTCTGGCAAAAAAAAGGCTGGACTCCTCAAAATTAATAAATGCTGCAGTTCTCTTTAGCTGCTTTTGTTTTTATACTTGGGTTCCAGGATCCTTGTAAAAATCTCTTTTAAATGTTTTGTTGCTGCTGATCTTTATTCAAGTAATTATCAAAAACCAATAATATTTAAACCATTCCTTCTGGACATTAAAGAATCAGTAAAATAGTACTAGCAGTGACATTAATATTTATTAAGGGCATCACACAAGCCAGACATATTGCATAGCATTTTCTGTCACTGAATTCAGTAAGGCCTCAATACAAACTTGTTAGACAGGAGTATTTTCTTCAGGAGTATTTAGCACAGTGGCTAAAACTAAGATTTAAATCCTGGTAATAAGCTTCTAGAGCTTTCATTTTATTTTTTTCGTAACATAATTCTTTATTGATTCTTTCAGAATTTCACATCATGCTCTCCAATCCCACTTACCTCCCATGTCCTTCCCTCACTCCTGTAACCTCCCTCCAAAAGAAATCCTCCCTCACAATCAATTAAAAACAAAAAAAACCCAAACAACAGCAAAAATAACTAGATCCTCCATCTTTCCAATACCTCTTCATTCATCCTAGTGGCACTGGGTGCTGTGGAGTGTCTCACGTTATACCCTTTTGTCTGTTCAACCCCACCCATAAAACGTTCATTGCAATGAGTCATTGGTCTAGTTCAAGGCCTCTGGCACACTAGCATCACTAGATTCTCACCAAAACCTCTCGGATATCCTGCTGTTGCCCCAAGTCATGGAGGTCTTATGAATATAGTTCCACAGGACCAGTCCCTTTACTGCACTCCAGCAGGTCACAGATAGGGTACATCTTAGGTTGGGCCAACCTGAGGCCTAGGATGTGGGTCTGAGTGGCAGCTGAACTGTTTGATCTGGGCCACTGAGACCACCCCCCCGTCCCCAGGCACAATGCAGAGCCCATTCTCATAGGCCCATGTTATTGGGGCCAGCTCTTTTATGCCCATGGTGAGAAATGGGGCCAGCTCTCCCAAGTGTGTGAGACCAGCTCTCTTGTTGTAGTGTCTAGAAAGAGGCAGGGTCAGCTACCCTAGGGCAAATGAGGGCAGGGTCAGCTCAACATGACCCTCGTATTTCAACATACATAATTCCTATGAACCCCTGTGGCAACATGGGCCATGGACATGATCACAGACCCCAGCTTCAGTAGGAATATGGATCTAGACATGGCCCTTGGCAGCAGCCCTGACCTGGATGACACCATGGCCCCATGTGGCAGTGCAGAGCACCCAGATTGGTATGGCTCTGGTGGCAGCATGGAACTCAGACATGAACATGGCCAGAGTTTGTGACCTTGACCCTGGGTATCTGTGTGGCCTTTGGTATTACCATGGGTAGAGATTGTATGTTTAACTCTTGCCTCCAACCTCAAATACCCTATAGTCTATGTAGTCTTCCATGGCTATCATGGCTAGAATACATAATAGAGATAACTAGATGCAGTTGAATATAAAAAGTATGAATGAGCAGATGGTACCATAAGCCAACATGGGCTTGCCTCCAGACTTTGTGGCATGGCACAGAGGCAATCACATATTCTCATGGCCCTGGATAGGAAACTGGGATGCAGTAACACTCTCATACTATCATAAACTTCCCACTTAAATGTCTCACTTAAATGTTCCTCTTAAATGATAGATATTTTCTCATTGTTTGCTCCTTTATTTTTCAGGACAAATCTAAGGGGCCTTTGGATGGTATTCATCAAGCCGGATCAAGTTCCTGGGGAGTTGAGAGATGAATGAAACAACATGAGCTCACCACTCTGTTGAGGGAAGATTGTCAAAGGAAGAGCCTATAGAGGAGGAATGCCTCACAAGGGTTCCAAGGATCAAAGAAGCCTAGAAAAGGCCACTGAATGTTCTCCCTCACCTCTACAGCAAGAATGTGTCACTGTACCCTGCAGGGAATACTTTGGTGTCTACTTTCCACTGCTTTTCCCATTACTTAGTTCAAAGCTTAACAAAGAGACATTCATGTGTCCTCAACTCCTAGCCCAGATCAGAGATGTGGATAGTACTCTTCTGTGCTAGACAACTTACTACCAATGGACATATCAACCTTGCTGTTTGGATAGCCAAGAGGAGAACTCTCTAGGGATGGGACTGTGTCTCCTCTGAGTCAGTGCATCTGTTAAAGGACCTTTCCTTTCCAAGGGGCTGGTCTGCATGGTTTCTTGCTGTGAACTCTTTAGCATGGAAAGTCCATCTGCTTAAATGAGTAATGTTACTGGATCTGTAGCTATGAAGAATAAGATTTTTGATATTTTGTTAGTTTCCCCCTTCATAGCAGTAGCAACAACAATAATATTAATAACTTTAGGAAATATGAGGACTTATATTTTGCTGACTTTATATTTATGTATTTATTTAGTTTCTATTGGTAGGGACTGAACTTGGGGTCTTGTTTGTGCTAGCTAGTCCTCTTTGTTACTGAACTACATCCACATTCTCAGGTCTAACACTTAAAAATATTTAATACAAAATGCTTGTGTTTTAGAAAGCAATATTTGGCAGTATAATGACAGTAAACATCAAACAATTATATTACAGGTTTTATTTCTGTGTTTTTATAAATTTAATACTAAATTGAATTAAAAAAAAATGTACTGCCCAAAGGGCACAGTGCAGTGCTACAAAGTACAAACAAATTGGACACTGATCTGTAATTAACACTCAATCACTGATGATTATCTTGTGATAATTACCATAATATTGACTGTGGGATTAATGAATGAAAAGGCTTCAGGGCCTGATTTTTTTTTATTAAATTTTACATTGAGGTTATTATGTCCACACTATGGAATGGTTGGTATTCTACCTGCTTTGCAGAGTCGGAGCAAATTAGTTATGAAGGATTTTTATTTTACACCAAAACCACAAAAGCTTCCCCCATTAGTAGTGTGTGTCCTGGGACAATAAGTGAAAAGTAACATGGAGACACTCCCTTTTCCCATGTGCAGTCTGCAACTGCAAAAGAAACACTTAGCAGCTCACCCATGTGCTGGAGACATACACAAAACCTCCACTCTGCCCTTCTGCAAATGTACTTTCCTTGTGGGGAACTCTCAAATTTCCAATATCTGAGGATAAGATGTTTGCTTAGCTTTCAAGGGTATCTCATGCAGTTAAATCACGGTGACATGGCCAATCACCTCACTCAAACTATCAGAAAACGTCCATTTAGTCAAGGGTAGAGGGACGTTCAAGGACAAGCTCAAGCAAGCTGTGGTCACGAGCAGAGTAAGAGCAAGGCAGGGTACAGGTAGTGGAGACCACTTAGTCTAAAGATCCCAGAAGCACGTGTGTGCCCCTGCATGGAGAGGCTAGGGGAGAGTATTGGTGTCATTCCTCAGGATTCCCTCCAAGCCTTGTTTTCTGAGACAGTTTTTCACTGTGTGTTCACTTCCCTCTCTGATGTAACATGAATGTACGCAGAGTAACACAAGTGGCAGCACAAGAAGCAGAAGAGCTCAAGTTACTGCAAACCCTTGACAGTTTGGTTCAGTCTCTCCCTAACAGGAGCAAAATCTATGGTGAATACTGCATTCAAATATTTGCTGCAAAGATTTTTGATTATTTGGATATTTTGAGGTCACTAGAATTGATTCTGGTTAAAAGAAAAAGATATGTTATAATTATTGGAGTTTAAAAAAATAATTTACTTTACCAATTTGTCACTTTGTTGAAAATCTTCCCAAACCTCCTGAATATCTGAGTTTATATGAAAAACAATCTCATTGAAAATGAATAAAAATATTCTCTTTTAAATGTATTAGAAGATAAATAGGCTAATACAATTTATAGTTTCATTTGAACAAAAACAAGTACAGGAAATTAACTTTAGTGAAGCCATTGACAACTTTGCATAAAATCAAACTTATGGAAAGACTTTTAAAGTTATTATTAATGAAATAGACTAAAACATTGTTGTTTTTCCATTTTCATAAAAATTAATTAATCATTGTATTTCTCTTCTTTTTGTGCTTCTATGTATTCTTATTAGCATGCTGATATGCATTGTCCTTCAGTGAATGTCTTTCCATCCATATTTCTTTAGTGTCCATTTGGCTTAATGATCATTAATGCACAGATCCCACAGATAGGGGGCAGGGCTATTACAAAAGTATAAATTGTGCATCTAACCCCACACATACAGTGCTACTGGTAAGAAAGAAGTGGAAATTCGGCATGAATTATCATTGACTAGTTATACTCTCCTATTGGTGAAAGATAAGAAATTTGTGTGTGTGTGTGTGTGTGTGTGTGTGTGTGTGTGTGTGTGTGTGTGTGTGTGTGTATTAGTTGGTCAAGATGTGCTCAGGCATGCCAGAAGTGAATGTCCAAGTTCCTCCTCAATTATTCTCCACCTCATTTGTGGAACAGAGTCTCTCACTGAACCCGGAGCTCAGCAATTCTGCTGGAGGAGCTGCAGGGCTCCACCTGTCTGTGCCTCTTCTGGCATGGGAATGCCTGGCTATGTTACTTGGGTTCTGGGGAACTGAACCCAGCTCCTCATGCTTGCACACAGGTGCTTTACTTACTGATTGAGCTGTCATCACAGCACATAAAAAATGACTTCTTAAGCATGGATACAATTGTTAAGTGGATCCAAAATATCAAGAGAACCCTTGCTCCCCATATAGAGTGCAATCCTAAGGTCTGGAACCTTAAAGAGACAGGTAAGAGACAGCCATGCCTTAATAGAGAATGGAGTTGGCAATAGTAACACAGATATACTTTTGGAATGCACATATCCTGAAGAACAATCCGACACATGCTGATAGAACATAATTAATGATAACACATTTGCAGAGATTTGACAGCTTCGGTGCTAGTTTTACTGATAATGGTTACATTGGCTTAACATTAACAAAATGTACTGGTGGCTGGTGGCAAAGATAAAGTGAAGCCTTCTCTGTGGACCACTGACATTGAACTCATAAACAAAGGCACTTACAGCTCATTTCAAGTCGGATGAAGTCTTTCATTCCAAGGTTCTCTAGGAAAACTCCAGATAAAGCAGTGGTTTTAAAAAAGAAGGAAATGTCAGCGCTGAATTCCGCATGGAAGGTAGGAAAGTGGAGGTAAGAAGCTTCAGTAGAAAAGGCAACGGCATTCCAGTAGTGTCCTGCGAAGCAGAGAGTCCTTCAGCACGGGTGTGTGCTTCTACTGGGTACAGGAAAGCAATGGGCTTGGGGGGATTTTCAACACTAGGAGGCCACTGAAGGGAAAAGGGATAAAGAAACCAAAAAGACTTGTGTTCATGTAATTCAGAGAAAGGGTGTGTTGTACTCACGGTCACCATAGCAACGCAAAGGGCCAATTCTCCAAGCAGCTTCTGAGTTTGATCTGTTGGTATCAGTGATAATTATCTGAGTTACAGGTAAGTGATCTTTGAAGGTAAGAAAACCAGTATCCTTTGTCCTAAAAAACATAAATTAAAGGGGAAAAAAGAAGGATAAAATATAGATTATCTAGGGAATCTGTGTAAAGACACTTGGATTGGATGCAGCCTGGCTAGGGTTAGGAAGAGCATAACAGAAGGCCTTTCATCTGCGGGCCTGTGTGAATAGTTGGAATACCAATTACAGAACCCATGGCCTGCTTCCAAACACCAATGGATTTTATGTCTTCCCTAAATGTGCTTGCAGGACCACAGGTAATTTACCAAGTTCGCTGTGCTGATTGTGGCCAAGAGGACCCAAAGGCTCACTGCAGTGTTAATGTGACATTAAACATCATGTCTCTTTCCCATAAAAGAAGATCTGCTATCTAAGGACCTAACTTGAAAATAGATACCACAATTCCCTCTCAAAAATCACTCACAGGACTTGGCTGAACCACCTGCCAACAGCTTTTAATCAGGCTTGAATGTTCCTTATCACCTTTTAGGTTGTGTTAAAATGAATCTTTATAGTTACTGGTTGCTTTTTGCTTTGTTCTTTAGAAAGACCTTGCTGGTTAATGACTCTGGCTTTGTTCTTGTTAATTATGCAAATAAGGAAGTACCTAGATTTCTTTTAATAGGAAAGTTTAAAAAGGATAGAGGAAGCCAATGTTTCCTTCTTTTTAAGCTGTCTTTCAGAATCAAGGAGATGGTGGTACCACTAGGCAGAGCATAAAATTGGAAGTAAGAACCTGGCATTGTGGAGCTGTGCAGATAACTTAGACAGTCTGATCTGCTTGGTGTATGGGCATAGAGACCCGAATTTGGATCTTATAAACCTACACAAGAAAACCTGCCCTTGTTGCACTTGATTATAATCATAAGGCTGGGTAAGTAGAGACAGGCAGATCTCTGGGGCCTGCTTGCCAGCCAACCTAGCTGAATTGGTGAGGTCCAGGCCAATAAGAGACCTTGCCTCAAAAAATAAGATGTACTCTACAGTACCCACAACAAAAGCTGGTTTCTGGCCACCACATGTGCACTCATACACGTACGCATGCACCAGCCTAGACACAAATAAAAAATATGCATACATATGTATACATACCCATACACATACCAGGGGGAGCTAGAAAAGGTACTATAGAGGATGGATGCCATCCAAGTATATAGTGTTCATATATGACATTTTCAAAATTAAATAAAAACAATGTTTGAAAAATAATAGTACAAATTCAACTCAAATAAATAAATTTCCATTGACTGTGCAAATACTTCCAGGATGAAATTCACTAAGGATAGGTGTAATCTTTGCCCACACAATTCTTCTCTGAAGTGTACATCACTATGTCCGTTTACAAATGTTGAAAGTGGCTTGGAGGCACTGAGTTGTTGCCCAGGATCACAGGATAGAAATGTCAGGAACCAAGTCATGGTTTTGCCTCCCTGGTATCTCTCTTGTGTTTAAGGACACACATTAGTAGTGTGGGTGAGTGATGTCCTTTAGGAAACACTTGGTGTGTTGAGTGCACATCTGAATAGCAGCTTGCAGAGGATTAAGTAAGATTCACAGCTGCTGGGCACAGTGTCTGGTCTGACTTAAATGCTCAGAATTGGTCTCACTGACACTTACTTTAGTTTTCTGCTTTGTCCCTGAACTACTCTGTGGCCTCGGGCAAGACAACTTATTTCATAGGCATCCAGCTATGATCCCTGGATTGGAGATTTCTTGCTATATAGCACATGTGGAAAATTAAATTTTAAGATTTAGAATTGAGCTCATGAGATTTGGAGAAAAACCCTTAATAATTTATCTAGGTTATAAATGAACCAAATATTCATCTGAACCTTTCCCATACAGCCCCATTAAAAAATATAAAGAAATGCATAATATAATATCTGTAATTTGAGTGCTTTTGTTTAGAAGCCGTTCAAATGATAAAGCTTTGCTTCAGCTGAAAATCACACTTATGCATGTTACACACACAGAAAGAATAGATTTGCCTTTTTGTTCAAAAGTATTCACAACTAGAGATTGTAAAGTGGAACTCAAACACCCAGTGAAGACAAAAATCCAGACTCTCCCCTGAAGAAACTATGCTGTGTCAAGGTACTCCATCCAATTTTTGCTTTTTAGCTACACATGCTGGGTTCTGAAGTCTGTCCATTATGCTGACTCATGCCCCCCTTAGACTCCATGACATCTTGTCCACATCTACTTGTTGTCCCTGGGTCGGCATATTAGCATATATAAAAAGCATGCTAAGTATAAAAAGGCTCTTCCAGATACCACAGGAACATATATATGTGGTTCAGTAGTGTAATTTACACTATCAGGAATGATTTTTATCTGGAAACTTTAAACAATAAAAAGAATTCAGGATTCCTTCCCCAGGAATGGTGTTTTCCGTAGTGAACTTGTTCTCCTTACATCAATTATGACAATACCCCCAGTCCAACCCAATGTACATCCTCAATGAAACTGTCTTTCCTGAAATTCTAGGTTATAGAAAGTTGATGTCCAAAACAAACAGCCACACTGGTAATTATAACTTGTTTATACCAGCAACAGAGAAAGATGTACCTAGAGTCATCTGCATCTGAGAAATGTTGATTCCCAGTTGTGTGCCACACAACCTAGTAGTTAATCATTTACTCTGCTTATGCTCTGACTAACACTGATGGCATCCACAGAACTTCTATCACTGCTGGTCATTTCTGTTTTCACATCACAGCTTTGTTCAGCAAATGGCACAATTCTGAAATTCTTTTTCTCAGGATCCAGGATATGAAATGGAATGACCAGCCTGTGAAACCAAGAATGGATTCCCAAATATTAACACATTTGTGTGTGAACACACTCTGTGATGTCTCACTGGCAGAAAGCAGCTCTTCCTGGCTGGAAGCTGGTGTATCACCTTGTGGTCACTGTCTTCCCTGGACATTGCTGCACACAAAGTAACAGCTCTGAGTCCTTGAGCCGTCCTAGGCTGGTCTCTGGTTGACCATCCCCATTCTGTACACACTGGCTTTCTCCAAACTCGACACAACTCAATTGATTGGGTTTCAGTTTACTAATTTGCAATCATTTTCGAGACTGACTCCCTGAGATTACACCTGGGTCACCTTGGCCAATGCTGTGGGAGACTACAGCCTCCTCAGTTACAGACTCACAGCTCTTGGGCTGTATTCATACCCAGTAGGTCCACCCACTGCATGGTGAATTTACCAGGAGCCCTATTTTGGAGTATTTCAGACTTCAGAGTTATCTCATTATTCCACCCAGAATTTGAGAGTTGAAGGGAATTTCATTACACTGGCATGGTGTTTCTTTCTTGATTTAGCCCTTTTATTTCATATATATTAAACATAAATTTAATATATTATATAAATTATATATAAAACATTATATAAACCAATGTTGCCTCTTCTAATTAAAGACTTTGTAATATTACAGAAAATAATAATATTAATAATGACATGTTTTTTTCGAAACTGACTACATGCCACATGTGATAGATATGAAGATTATTTGCTAACTCAGCTAGCAATCCCCAGAAATAATGACCCCACCTTTCTCTACTTTTAAAAATAAAATCAGAACCTGAAGCTCCAAGAAGCTGAATGATTTAGAGTCTCTAATTAACAGATGACAAATGTGGGATTTGACTATCCTGTTCCATAATAAAAATTTAGTTAGGGATTCATTAGAGTTAGCCTCCAGACTACGACAATGCTGTCAGCCAAAAAATTAACAAAAACTGCATGTGCTGAGTACATGATCAGCTCACAGTATCAGTGCTGTAGATGTGCAAAGGAGGAGGATTAGCTCTTGCCCTGTGCATCATGAAAATTCTGTACTTTTCTTCACAGTCATTGGGATTGTCTGAAGTAAAGCTGTGTGCTTTTTCATGGACTGTGGAAGCACACCAAGAGAAATGGCACTGGGAGGGAGATGAGGAGGAGACGGCCACCTCCCATCTGACCTGAGCCTCACCTCAGCAAGGCCTCCCCTTCACTCACTCACTCTTTGAACACCGAGAGCACAGTGGCCTCACAGAGGACAGGCACACCTCTCTCCAACAGAATGGGCCGACTTGATGCTGAGGCCAGACATACATGAGAATCCAGTGACTAACAGCTCCCCAAACTACTTAACCACTTAGAATTTTTGCCCACTGAGAGAAAGTTCGAAAACAAAGCAAAAATTAGATTGAGCAACAGATAAACATTAGCAAATAAACTGTTCTGATGAGGTAGGCTGGCGGAGCCCTAGGACTTACCTCTCTCCACCTGTCCAGAACTGGAGCTACACGTGCTTACAACATGCCTGGAATATTTTTTTTTTTTTGGTTTTGTACCTGGCTTTTTACTTGGATACTGGGGATCAAGCTGAGATTTCATGCTTGTGTGGTGAATTCTATTGTCTGAATTACCTCTCTGGTACTAAGAACTACTTTTGAAAGGGTTTAGAAAATTCATTCACAACAAAAATGCATATGGAAAACTTGGTAGAGATTTCTTCTGATAATATCAGAGAGGAACAATATAGTCAACAGCAATTAAGTGTGAATTGGATTTAATCCACCAAAGAACAGAGGTAAACATCTGTCCAAGAGAAGTCATTAGTCATCATTCATGACTGCAGTATCATACCATAATTAAGCTGTACAGAGTAAGTTAAGGCTCCAGGGTTCCATATGATAAAAAAAGAAAACAGAACAACTCCCTAAAAGTATACTATTCTTTAAAAAACGAGAATAGCGGACTCTCCTTTCCAGATGGCACCCTGACAGGAACACTGCTTTACAAAAGGTACACCAAGGGCAAAAGCGGTGAGTAGAACTAGGAACCCCCAACTCCTCTGCACTCTCAGTGAGGAAGGAAGTGGGGGGAAGCTCTCTCTGAAGGGAGCTTCACTTTTATTGGTCCTGGTATTTGGATAAGAAAACTTACAATTGAGGCTGAGGGCTGTCCCCAGGAGGCCCCGTTGCAGTGTCTCCCTACCTTCAACATGTGACCCAACCATGCTTCCCTC